GAGAAATGAGACTCACAATGTATAATCATTCCTACTGCTTTTTAGGAAAAGTGTTATAATACCCAAAATACTATACTAAGATATCTATGATAAATATTTATTCACTGGGCAGCAATCAAGTGTTGTCTTTTTTCTCCCAATGTAAAAATTGGACTCAGTTAGCTCAGATATATATTATATAAACATGTAATATGTTTGATCCACTATATATTGGCTTCATATCAAATTCATTTAAACATTAAGCGATCAGGTTGCCCTTCTATGATAGAACCTAGTTAACATGGTACATTGCGTTCATTGGACCATCATAGTGTTAATCATCTTTCTATGTCAAGTGCATTTGCTTCTGTATTTATGAACAGAAAGTAAGTCATATATCCATAACATCCCAAGATCACATCCCCAAAATGTAGCATTCAAATTTTGTGCCACATACATTTTGACTTATTTAAAATGTTTCCATTTATGAATTCAGAAATCATGTACAATTAACCAATTGCTTTTTTAATTTCAAAAAATTAGGAATCTGGCTGTGATTCAGTTGAATTTCTGCATGTCTATCAAATTCTACTTCTCAATGAACGGTTGCTCACTAGCAACAGGTATGTTGAAGTGGAAACATGAACACTTCAATAGAGATAGTCTCAGATAGCTGTGAAATGCATTCCCAAGTAGGGGTAAGGGGAACTAGCTGATTCTTTGAGGGTTAATTTCTTTTTAATTTTCTTATTTTGTTTTAATCACAGAAGCTAAAACAAATGTGATGTTTTTAGTTCTCCAGTGTGACCAAATCGTATCAGTCATAACAATGACTGCTGCTTTTTATTATTCTTTTTTCCTATTTATTTCAAGGATAGAAAGGTATTCTTTTTTCCATATATAAGCCCATTGCAAAAAGCAACTGTCACTTTTCCTTTTTCATAATGACTGATGATATGCTGTTTCACTGTCACTAACAGCAGAGCAAGATTTGGTTTTATATAGCCAATTCAATGTAATAAACAATTGGGTATCAATTTAGTGATCAATATCCTAGTTGGAGAAGCCTCAGGTGGCTTTTGAAAAAAGAAGCTCAATTTATGATTACTTTAAAAATCATACAGAGAAACCTAAACACTATGGCTAAGTGTCCATTAGTGACATAAATGTGTGTAAAAGATAACAAATAAGAAAATATTTGTCAATTTACCCTTTCATAGTACTTCATTTTCTAAGCAAATTCACAGATATGCAAAAGACCTTTTATTATATAGACCAAATTGGGATATAAAATAACATACTTTAAAAATACTTATTAATTTAAAAATTTGCAAACATGAATTATTTGTAAAAAGGGGGGCAAATAATAGTATATATACTTAATATATGATCAATAAAATGGAAGCAAATATCTGAAAAGTAGATCAATGCATCAATGATATTTTAAAAGAATTTTCCTGTTAAGTCCAGTTAATTAGTATGTTAATTCAGGTGCCATCAGTGGTTCCCAACATTGTATAGGCCTATGACCTTTTCACAACTCAAATTCAAAGACTGTATTCCAACTCTAAAAGGCATATTACTAATACCTGTTTTTGGTCTCAAAAGAAAACAACAAAAACAAACAAACAAAAAAATCAGAGCTGTGCAAGTCACCATGACTACTGGGGAAAATGGATGGATCATAGAATCAGAGATGAAAAGAAGCTCATCTAGTCCAATACCCTCATTTTACAGATAAAAATTCTGTGATCCAAGCACACAGATAGTGAGGGACAGAACCGAATGCTGGACCCAGGCCTTCTAATTTAAATCCAGTATTCCTTCCTCTGCATTGGGCTGCTTTCCACAGACTTGGAAGTCATCTGTCCTATAAGACCAATACTTCTCATAGTAAGCAGGATATGAAAACAACCTGAATATGAATCTCTTCTCTTTTGCTTAGAAATGTGTAAGTAGGACCTTAAACACTCTGAATTTCAGTTCCCTCTTCTAAGAAATGGGAATAATGAAATTTGGACTACTTGTCTCAGAGGGTTGCCATGAAGAATAGATTTGGGAGAAATATAGCAAGGTATTTTCATCATGTAGCTGAGTAGGTAGATAATAGAATAAATGCATCATTTCATTCTTAGAATGCACAAAGCCACACAACCTAGAAGTATTTCTTCTTCCATAAGATAATTTATATCTAAATGTTATAAAATGTATGTGTGTATTGTTTCCAAAAACTGGTCTTTACACAGTTGTCAGGAAGGCCTTCTTACATGAAAATCTATGTGTGTCTGTGTACACTATATATACATATATATATATGTGTGTGTGTGTGTGTGTGTGTGTGTGTGTGTATATATATGTGTGTGTGTGTGTATATTCAATAGATGAGATTATAATTGCAAATACAATATAATGAGTCTTTGGATAAAATATAAATATTTCCTATTTTGATAAAAAATTAAAATATATTTAATGGTCTTAGAATAGTATACACCTATAAAATAGAAGCTAATTACATTAACTAGAGATGCACCCATAATGTAGGCATTGGTTTTATTAGAAAAAAATTACTTCTTGAATAGAAATTGAAATGAAGGAACATTATCTTTTTCTCTCTCTGACAGTAAGTAGTAATAGTATTTGGAAAATTTCCTAAGAGCTAGAACTGTCTAAAAGTAGAGTAAGCAGCTTCTTGGGTAATGAGTTCCACATCTGTAAAGGACTTTAAGCACCAGCTACAGGATCACATGTTGGGAATGCTGGAAAGCCATGGATTGGACTAAATGACTTCTAAAATTCTTTCCAACAATGACATTCTATGATTTGATGATGCTATAATATATTTACATAGAATACTAGGGCATGAACATATTTTTGGATGCAAAAGTAATAGTAGATTCATCAGAACTTCAGGTTAAAGGATAGGCTACTTTAAAAGCTGTTAAAAGTTTTTTGTTGTTTTTCCATGAAAAAAAATATACATTTACCTTAGGATCCCAAAGTCAAAGCCATTATTTATCAACTGACATACAGATACATTTAATTTCTCAATTAATTCATAATACTGTGCTTTAAAAATTCTATACACAACAAATGGTAGTCATGGTTATATTAAAATGTATTTTTCTTAGCAGAGTGTTATTTCTCTACTTTAAACAGATAGCATATTTAAACCTCTACTTGGTAAAATTTATTTTCTAAAATAAAAAAAAATTCTTTACAAAATAAGCCTTAGCAACAGTGATGAAGTACAAACGCCATTTTGGCATATAGAAAATAAATAACACCATAAAAATACAACACCCTACAAAGCAACATTGCTTAAAATGAATACAGAAGGCAATTTAGTCAGTCTTATACCTCGGGCATGCCAAGTTATACACTCCAAAGAAAATAGCAAAAATTCAGATAACATTTTTTAGTCATTCCCAAACTAGTCTGAAAATATCTTCATGAACCAAGCTGAAAAGTTCATCTTTTATTCAGAAAATCTTCAGATGATATCACTCTACACTTAATCTCAATTTACTTAAAATCTCCAATCTAATACTACTTCAATTGGGGGTGGGGGGAATTGATTCTAATACTATGGAATTCCCATTATTCATTCTAGCAGTGCCTTACTATCTTGAAGGGGCTATTTAGAAATCCTCTTTTTTTTTCATTTTTAGCTTTAGCTTTTTTGTTAATAAGCTCTGGTCTTTTGGCAATAAGGTAGATATAAATGTGATGTAAATATATATATATACATATACACATAAGAATCTACCTATAAAATTCATTCATCTCATAATATTAGGATCTACAAAGCATTAAAAATAAATACACCTGTGCATTGAGATTATCAGTGCAGTGTACCCAGACACACCTATCAACGTCAATGTATGTATTTTTCTCTTTCCTTCCACACCTACTTTGTTATTTTAGTAAGAGTGAAAACCAAACAAACCTGTCTCACATATAGAATACACTTCATGTTCTCAAAGGCAACCGCTCTTAGCAACTAGGTGTAGAATCAAGCAAAAGAGCTGAACACAGTCTGATTGTTCTCAGGAGGAAGTTGCTTAAGCAAATGCTGTAAATGTAGAAACTGCTGCATAGACCAAGCACTTTGCTTCTTTAGAAATTATTACTAAGATGAGCTTATTACAAACTCCATCATTCAGTAACTGTTTTGCCTAGTGAAATCGACTACTCTCTTTCAATCAAACAAAAAGCAAACCCTAGGTCATTGGGCTTCTCCAAATCATAAACTGGATCTTTCACTCACACACACAGATTCCACCCCTATTATTAGTTCTGGGAGTAACTGGTATAGTCTTGTGCTTAAAATTAAACCTCTTGTCTGTTTCAAGGTCTAAGTTACAATCACATAGGGAGTTCATACACTTAAGTCCATCCGCTCAATTTTCCTCAAACCTACAGCTGCTAAAATAAAAGTGACCATTTCTTAATTCTGGCCAACAGTGTGATAGAGTTACAGGTCATCTGCCCAACAGCTGAAAAGCCAGAGAAATGGGGGAGGGGGTGTAGACAGACAGAAGAGTGGAAGAAGACAGGGAATGAAAGGAGCTCATATAGTTAAAATGCATTTTCCCCAAGAACCTGAGACTAGAAGATGAACACATCATCTAAGGCTGTAGCCTCTGGGGAAACAGGTTCTTCCGAAGGCAGGAAAAGATTTTCAAGTACACTCCTTTCCCCTCCCCTCCCAGGAGACCCAGAGAACAAGTGGGGGTGAGGAAGAACAGGAGCTAGGAGCGCTATAAACTTGCCAAAAGCTGTTGGCCCCGTTAAGTTTTCCGTTGCTACAGGTTGCCACAGACAGCAGCATTCCCAGCTCCCAGGAAAACGTACCGAGGAAGGTAATAAGAAGGGAAGAGAAGGAAAGAGGAAGTAACAGACTCCGGACTAAGAGGAGAGGGGAAGTGGAGGGAAACCTTGCAGGCGACCTGAAAGGGATGGGACAAAGGAAGGGAGAAGGGAATGGAAGCGGTCAATGGGAAAGCACAACACCTACAGACCTTGGCGCCTCAACCTTCGCTTCTTGAGGCCAAAGATGCGCACTTTGGAGAAGATATCCACCAGGTTCCCATTACATAGCCCCCGGTTCTTGCTGGGGCTGTTCCGCCTCCTGCTGGCCGAGGGCCTGTCCCAGTGCTGCTCCCGTGCCTGTCGCTTCTGACGGATCAAGCCACTAGCTATGGCTGCAGCCATGGTGTGGTTCAGCCAGTCCCAGTTAGGTTAGGGATGAGGACAGGAATGGGGATGGGAAGAGAGAGTAGGGAAAAAGGGGATAGGACAGGAATGGGACACAGGCTCCTCAGTCACTAAGCAGGGGAGCTTGGGAACCTGACAGGGAAGGTTGGAAATGGGCTGGGAGAGGGGACGCTCAGTCCCTGCTGGGACCCATCTTCCTTATGCACTTAGCGGGTGTGAGGCGCCAGAGCCTTTGAGTTAGGTGAGAACCTCCTGGTTTTGCCGCGTTGCCAGGAGGCACAAGTAAGGAGCAGACACAGGTCTTCACAGCCACCCACCCCCACCAGCAACTTAAGAGCAGGACTCTGCTAGCTTCACTGGTGCCTTCCGCTGTGTATCCCTCAGCCCCGGGTTTCTGATGCTCCCTCCAGTGACACCGGAGCCTTCTTTCCTTCTTGTACCTCTCCCAGGCCAAGAGTTCAGTAGGGGTTGGAGGCTAGCTCTCTTGATCCTAGGCTCTTAGCTGGCAGAGAGAGCCTTGGCTGGCTTCAAGGAAGGCAATCAGTTATTCACGGAGAATAGCTGGCACCAGGCTTTCTCACTTACAGTACTGCCGCTGTCGCCGCCGCCACCACTGCTGCTGTTGCTGCTGCTGCCACCGCCGCCTCTGAACACCCCGGCTTCTGATGCCCACCGGCCCATGCAGCCGCTGCCGCCACCGCTGTCTCCAGCTCAAGACTCCTGCCTGGTGATTGCTAAGTGCTTTTAGAAATCAGCATCTGGAGAGGGCAATCTTCTCCCCAGAGATGTGCAATCAAAGCGCTTCATTCCAACCTTCCCATGTTCCCACCTCTTCTCCTTCATTTCTTTCTTTAAATAAAGAAGCAAAGAGGGGATACAAGGGATGAGGGATACCAGGACTTGGAAAGGACTAAGGAAAAGGAGAAAGAAGAGGAGGAGGAGGAGATGGTGGTGGTGGTGGTGGTGGTGGCAGAGGAGGGCGAGTTGAAGGAATTCGGGTGCGTTGCTGTTAGTGGGAAATCTCTAGTCTCCAATAAATAGATAGATCCAGCAGCAGCTGCTTCCTCTGCTGGGCTTCTTGGTTATAATGTGTCTCCCGGTCTCCAGGAACTCTCAGTTCTGGTTGGAGGGCGATGTGCTTTAGCCTGCCTAGGCTAATCCCTGCAGCACTGAATCCCAGGGATAGGGAAATGGAGGTGAGGGGTGGGACAGTGGGGCTTGGCTCCTTCCACTCCACACCTAGCCCACCCTAACTTGTGGGGATCTCCCTTCTGCAGCCAGAAAGGACAAGCGTGTCCATTTTGGAATGGTGGTATAGTGGAAGGAGGGGAAGGGGGAAGGCGACAGAGAAAAAGGTGATTCAAGCAGGCATGAAAAGACCCCACCCATAAGCCCCTCCTTGTAACTGTTAAAGGAGGGGACTAAGGCAGCAGCAGCTGGGAAAGCAGCAGCTGGAGAGGATATAGTGCCCTAGGGGAAGATTGGGGAAGGCTTAACAGAAACACTGATGTTCTATCTCCCCCTCCTACTGCAGGACAGGGGGGGAAAGCGTCCTCTATGTTCAGTGACAACAAATAGCTAACACACAACTTGAGCTTCTGTCTCCCGTAGTCCCGAGGTCATCTGTCCCTTGTGGAAATATTGTCACGAAAAGGAAAGCCACAAAAGTCTGCTTCCAATGCCACAGACTGTTTCCCCTTCCTGCTCTTCAAGTCTTCAGTCTGTCTAGGACACAGCTTTGCCTTGGGTGACAGTGAAATTCAAACACCCAGGAGGGAGGTAGGGGTGGGGGAAGGGGGGAGAAGGTAGGGTTGGGAGAGATACACTTTATGCTTGGCTGGTACAGATCTGTGGTTTCTAGGATACACCCCGAGTGACAGATCCCGGCTCTTGCTCAGGGCTTCCTACTTTTCCTCTTCCTTCTGCCCCATTTTGTTAAATCGTTATGGGGAAGCAAAGAAAAATAAATAAACTAAACTCAATGGCTCACAATTTAATGTGAAAGGTAGGGAGAGTGAGCAGAGAAAAAAGACTCATTTGAGAATCAACAGAAAATTATACTGATAACATTTATGGTGAACATTTTAGAATAAGATAAGGCCCCCATTGTAGCCCAGGGGGTCTCTTCACATGCAAATATAAACTGATACGTACTTTTTTCTTTGTCTGATTAAGGTAGAAAGAAACACTTTCAATCAGGCCAGTGGAATTAATTCAGTGAAAGGGTTGATCATCTGGAGTCTACACATACTTTGCACTTCTCTCTTCAAGATCTAACCCTTCCCAGTTACTACATCACCATCCTTAGTGTTTACTCTAGATTGACTTTCTTCTTAAGGAATGGGAGAAGTGAATCAGAAACAATTTAATCTGGGGTGAATATGTGGCTTTAGGACTCAACCTAATAGTTACTAACCACTGTGCTGTGACTCAGGTTGATATAAGTAGTACTTAATAATAAAATGGACTTGACAGTTTGTTTCTTTCACCTTCGTGGGGTGTGAGCAGGATAATATGTACTAGAAAGATCTCTGCCTTTTCAGAGTCAAGAGACCTGAATGGAATCATGATTCTGTCATTTACCTTATGTCTACTTTGTATACAACTACAAACACATGGGTTATGAATCTTCAAATACAAGCTTTTTGGGGGTAATCTGTTTTACTTTTTTTTTATATCCCCAGCACTTCATAGAGTATCTTACATAATAAGTGCTTTATAAGTGGTTGCAAATTAAATGAATAATTTATTCACTGGGTGACCATAGAAATGTCATTTTTACCTCTCAGATGCTTAATTTTCACATCTATAAAATGAGAATTGAAAGTGGGTGTCCTACCTATCTCAAATACTTTGAAGATAAAGTAACACATGAAAGCATCATCCGAATTCAAGGTATTATTATTCTCCCACTCAAAATAACACACCAAACTATAATACAAAAACATCTATGTTATTTACAATCATAGCTTTCTGGGAGTATAATTCTCATCTCACCTATGTAAGAACTAGGAAAATTTATTGGTAGATTTAGTGTTCCTTTTCTTTCATCAACATTCTGGTCACTTACCTACTTGACTTTTCCTCTACCAGCTAATTTCACTTTGGTTGATTGGAGAATCCCATTAAACGTTCCACCCCATGAAGAGGTGTCTATCATGGTACAAACAAATATTTCTACTACTTTGACCATTAATTACTACAGATTTAAATTTCTCAATTTAGCATAACAGAAAAATTAATCATGGATGAAGAATTACCATTTCAGCTCTCTGTCACCAAAGATACTGACAGATTAATACTGTCTGAACTCAATCACATTTTTAGAATCACTTTAAAATTAAACTGTCCAAACAAATTTGTCTACAATGGTTTTTGTTTTTCTTTTTTAATTGTCAATGAGATGAATATTAAAAACATATCATTGTTTAAATGTGTAGATTGTATGGCATTAGAAGATATTAGATTGAATCCTACAGAAGGAATCAGAAATCTTGGTACTAGTCCAAATTCTGCCTCTAACTAGTTGTGTGACCTTAAGTGAGTAACTTATTCTCTTTGTTCCTCAGTTTCTCCTCCTTCTGCAAAATTACAGTTTTGGTTTATAGGTCATCTAAGATTACTTCCAACTCTAAAATTTTATGAGCCATGGTTCCTAGCACTGTGCCTTAATTATACTTTTAAAAAGCTTAAACTATATTTTAAATTTAAGTTTTATTGAAATTTGAGTTTGTTTACATTACTGTATTATATTCTTTCTTAAAATGCACTTCCTTAAACTAGAGTCTCTCCACAACTTTTTGGATAATTAAAGGGAGATTTTCCCTGCACTTCTTCCTTATGTGTTGCTTCACTCAACCCCATATCTTTGCTGCTCATTATCTGTGTGCTCATTAGCAATTGAGCACTGCCTAGGTTTTAGCACCATGGACAGAGGTTCAATTCAAGTTGGGTATTGTATTAAAGTGGGTTTCCAGAATGTCAGAACATTGTCCAGATACCAGAGTGTCCTTGACATTTTGTTCTAATAAAGCGAATTTCTGTCATTAAGCATATTTTAAGGTGGAAAGGAAATTAAACTTCACAACTCCCACTGACTAATAAGAGAAAGAGTGCTCAAATCAGTTAAGCTGGGGCTTAGGAGGAAAGTACTTTGCATATTCCTTTCTTTAGCCAGAAATTAGCATCAGATGCACTGACGCAGAGCCAAACATCACTGATTCTTTCACAGTTTGCTCATCTGACTTTATGTCATGAATTTCATATAATGCTACTGGTCATTTCTATTATGTTTGACATCTGGAGTTAGAAGACAATTGTATGGAGAAGGGGGAGGGGGAGCAGTGGTGGTAAAGCTTAGGTATATCTTCCAGCCTGAAATCTGTGCTGCTCCACTTCCCTCTCAGAAACATGGCACGGTTGTTTACAATTTTAAGGACACCAAGGAAAACTCAAGAGAGCCATCTGCTGTCTTAACCTGTGATAAAAAATGTGTGCAATGCTAGGCAAAAAAAAAAAAAGAGCTTGGGGCAACTGAACATGTATCCATAAGTTGTTATAAGTTATACATCAGAATCTGATTCTTATTTATTAGACCCTCCCTCAAAACCTGTTAATCTCACTATTGGATACATCAAATATAGCTTATAATTCTGTTTGACATTTTGGTTAAACACATAAAATGATGCTGATAATTGATGCCATTTATTTCTATTCTTTAAGCTTTTTTATATTATCCCATATACTCCCTTAATATCAAAGCCAAATATGTTTCCAAGTATGGTTTCTACCTGCATAAACTGATAAACTACTTTAAGAAAATAATTTAAATTATTCTTTACAAACATCAATGTAAACTTCTATTGGGGGGGGGCACTAAAGGCAGGATGCTCCGGAAAGGCTTTTTTAATTTTTGCTGGAGACTACTACTTTTCAACTCTGTTAGCTGCTGTCAGTCAAGCGATTCATAGTATCTAATTAGGGTAGCAAAAACACAAATATTAGACTCACTTCAGATATAGAAAACTGAAAGAAGGAAGGATAGAACACTCATTATCCTCACAGGCTATTCATATAAAGTCTATTTATATTGTTACAGAAATTGTGTATATTTTTTCTTGTAGTGTTCAATTTATAACGAATCATTTCACATAAGTCTCCCAAACTTTCCTTGAATTCTTCATATTTATCGTTTTGTAAGGTATGATAATATTCCATTACATTCATATACCACAATTTGTTTTGTTATTTTTGTAAATGATATGTAGCTCTTTTGTTTCTAGTTCCTTGCTACCATGTGGCTACAAATACTTTGGTTTATATGGGGGCATTATTTCTGCCTCTATTCTCCTAGGGGGTATACTTCTAGCCAAAGAATCTCTTAGTCAAAGAATATAATCAGTTTTATGACTTTTCTCATAAAACAGTAAATTGTTTTCTGCAATGATAACTTCCAACTCCACCAATAATGTATGTGTGTGCCTACCTTTCAGCTAAAATTGAATATTTACTATATTTTTGTAATTTTGCAAGTTATCTGGATGGAAAATCATAGATTTGGTATAATTTGGATTTATCTTAATATTGGAGATTTGGAGAAATATGTCAAGACATGATTTTGAGACTTTATAATTCTTCTCTTGTAAACAATTTCTTCATAGCCTTTAATCATTTATTTGGTAATACATTAAGGCCATTTTTTGCTAATTTCTTAAATATATCAAATATTAGATATTAACAGAAATATCTCATACAAACATTTTCCCCAAATGACAATTTCTCTCCTTATTATAGTTAATCAATTTTGTTCTTGTAAAAGTTTTATAATTTTAGGTAATTGCAATTGTATATTTTCTCTTGTCTAATAACCTCTGTTCCTTATTTGGTTAAGAATTTTCACCTTAGGCATAACTAACAACCCCTTAATTATAAAGAGGGAAGACTGAGGCCCACTCAGAGATACTAAGTAACTTAACCAAAAACATTACAAGTTAATGAAAAAGTTGGGCCAAGATTTATGTCCCCAGGCTCATAATCTAACACTCTTTCCATGATGCCACATCGGTTCCTTATCAACTAATGCCATAATGTACTAGGTTTCAGAAGACTATTGAGTACAACCATAAAATTGTGCATACTATTTCTCACATCTACTTTTTATCTGTTTTTCTCTTTATTGCACAGAACATATGCTCAATAAATGTTTGTACATTGCTCTATTGC